CTTTGTTGAAATAAGTTGGCCCTAAGTGTGATGATTTATTTCTGAATTCTCAATTTTATTCTATTAGATATCCTAATGCTAATACTACCCTGTCTTAATTATTGTAGCTTTATAGTAAGTTTGAAATCTGGAAGTTCGAGTCCTTCAACTTTATTATTCTTTTACAAAAGATTATTTTGTAATCTATTCTGGGTCTCTTGAATTTCCATATGAATTTTGGGATCAGCTAGTCAATTTCTATAAATGTCAGCTAAGAGTTTCATAATGATTGCCCTTCGTCTGTAGATAAATTTTGTCAACGTAACACATTGTCTCCCAATTCATTCACAAGACATGTTTTTCAGTTTATTCAGATCTTCTTTGTGTTTTGTAATTTTTAGAGTATAAATTTTACATTTCCTAAACTAATTTTTTTGTTCTTTCTAATGTGATTTTAAATGGAATTTAAATTTTTTAATTTCACCTATGATTGCTCATTGCTATTGTATAGAAGTACAACTGGTTTTTGTATATTGATCTTATATCCTATAACCTTGTTCAACTCACTAGTTTCAACAGATATTTAGTGGTTTCCTTAGGATTTTCCATATGCAGTTGACCTTTGAACTACATGAGTTTGAACTATGTGGGTACTTTTACATGTGAATTTTTTTTTCAATAAATACTGTAAATGCATTTTTTCTTCCTTATGATTTTCTTAACATTTTGTTTTCTTTAGCTTCATTGTAAGGGTACAGTATATAAAACACATACAAAATGTGTTAATCAGTAGTTTGTTATCAGTAAGGCTCAACAGTAGGCTATTAGTAGTTAATTTTGGGGGGACTCAAAAGTTATATTCATATTTTTTACTGCATAGGGGTCAGCACCTCTAACTTCCATGTTTTTCAAGGGTTAACCACAAAATCATGTCATCTTTGAATAAAGATAGATCTACTACTTCCTTTCCTATCTGGATGTATTTTATTTCTTTTTTTCTACCTAATTGCTCTAGCTGGAACCTTAAGTACAGTATTGAAAAAAAGCACTGAGAATAGACATCCTTCTCACATTCCTAATCTTAGGGAGAAAGCTTTGTCTTAAACATTATATTAGGTGTAGTTTTTTCATGCACGCCTTTTATTTAGGCTTATGAAGTTAATTTCTATTCCCAATTTTGAATGTTTTTATCATCAAGGGGTGTTGGATTTTATCAGATGTTTCTGTCTATTGAGATTCCTCATATAGCTTTTGTCCATTATTCTATTAATATATAGTGTAGTGTATTAGTTGATTTTCTGATGGTAAATCAACCTTGCATTGCTGGGTTCAATTCCATGTAGCTGTGTTGTATAATCTTTTATATATGTTGCTGAATAGGTTTTCTGGTATTTTTGTTGAGGATATTTGTTTTATATTCATAAGTGATATTGCTCTATAGTTTCCTGGTTTACTTATCTGACCTTGGTATCATAGAATACATTGGAAAGTGTTCTCTTCTAATTTTGGGGATGCTGTAAAGAATTGGTATTAATTCTTTTTTATAAGTTTGGCAAATTTTTGCAGCACATCTACATGGAACTAAGCTTTATTTCTTGTGCAGTTTTTAAAAATTACTATTTAATCTCATTAAAAATGTCTTCACATTTTCTATTTTGTCCATAGTCAATTTATGTAACTGTGTCTCTCTAGAAATTTGCCAGTTTTATACATTGGCATACAGTTCATAGTATTATTTAATTTTTTTTCCTGTGAACTCAATAGTAATGGCCTCTCTTTCACTGCTGATGTTAGTAATTTTTGAGTCTCCTGGCTCTTGTTTTTTTTGTTAGTTTCTGTTTTGTTTTTGGTCAACCCAGCTAAAGTTTTGTCTATTTTGTTGACCTCAAATAACCAACTTTTGGTTTCATTGATTTTTCTCAATTGTTTCATTTGGTTTCATTGATTTTCTCAATTGTTTCATTAATTTTCATTGTACTCTATGATTTCTTTCCTTCTGCTTGCTTTCTGCTATCTTAAGGTAAAAAGTTAGATTAATGTTTTGAGATCTTTATTAATATAGATTACATTTCTTTTTAAATGCTGCTTTAACTGAAACCCATGTGATTTATTCTTTGATTCATAGGTTATTTAAGATTATGTTAATTTCTATATATTTGTGAATTTTCCAAATTTCTTTCTATTATTGATTTCTAACATCATTGAATTATATTCAGAGAACATTTCTTTATATAATTTAAATCTGTTGAAGTTTATAGGGCCTTGTTTTATGATTTATTTTGTGTTCTATCCTGGAGAATGTCTTGTGTGTACTTAAGAACAATGTATATTCTGTTGTTGTTGTTGTTGTTTGGTACATTGTTCTCTGGAAATGTTAGATTATAGTATTATTCCACTCTTCTAGTTTTGTTGACCTTCTTCCTAGTTGTTATTGCCATTATTGAATGTGAGATATTCAAGTTTCCAGCCATGATAATTGAAATGTATGTTTCTCCCATCATTTATGGCATTTTGTGCTTCATGTATATTAATGCTTTATTGTTAGTAGCAAATACATTTATAATTGTTATACCTTCTGATGGATTGACACTTTTATCATAAAATGGCCCTCTTTATTGCTATCTCTTTTGTTTGATATTAGTATAGACATGCGGTTTCTTATGGTTGCTGTGTGGTATATCCTTTTTTACCCTTTTACTTTCAGCCTATTTGAAGCTAAGTCTGTCTCCTTTAGATTACATATAGGGAGGGTCTTGTTTTTACATGGTCTGCCTTTGACGTGATGGTTTAATCCAATCATGCTTAATTGTATTATTGGTGTAGTTGGTTGGATTTACATTTGCCATTTGACTTTTTTTTTTTCTATGTTTCATGTCTTTTATGTTCCTCCTTTACTTCTTTACTTTGTACTAAGTGAATATTTTCTGGTGTAACATTTTAATCCCTTTGATGATTTTTTCACTTTTTTTAATTCTTTTCTTTGTAGTTATTTTACATCTTATCAGAATCTCCTTGTAATTTATGCTAAGTTAATTCCAGTGAGCTATAGAAAGATTATTTCTATGTAACTCAATTCCCTTTTGTACTATTATTACATATGTAACATCTATATATGTTACAAACCCACTGACATACTGTTATAATTATTACTTTATATAATTTTGTCATTAAAAGAAGGTGAGAGAAGAACAGGTATATATATATATATATATATATATATATATATATATATATGGAAATATGTAAATATGAAGATTAATAGAACAAAAGATATATATAGAGAGAGAAGGTATATATATATATATATATATACCTGTTCTTCTCTCACCTTCTATATATATATATATATATATATATATATCTTTTGTTCTATTAATCTTCATATTTACATATTTCCAAATTCATAAATACATTTTTGTTTCTCTTCATTTGTTCTAAGTCAGACTTTTCCTCAGATATATTCAAATAGTGTCAGCCAAAAGGATGGAGACCAGGCTCTATGTGCAGTTGTTAGCTCATGCATGGCACAACTAAGAGTTACCATTTGCATTGCAGTCAGCGTGTTTACTTTGGTAGTTTATTGGCAGATGGCAGATGGCTGAAATATCTTGTTCTAATTATTTCAGTGTATGAATCTCAGTAATTTATAGTTCAGTCCAATTAAACTTTATGTGATGGTAAAGTATTCCATATCTCTGCCTTCCAGCATGGTAGTCAATAGCCACATGTTACTATTGAGCATTTGAAGAGCTGAATTTTTAATTAATTTATATTGAATTTTAAATAGCCACAGCTAAAGACTCTCATATTGGACAGTGATGGCAAAATTCCAGATGTACCCTTCCTTAATATTGTGATTAAATCTTCTAAGGTAGATTAAAGGGAAGAACCCAAAGTCAGCTGATAGTTTCATAAATTGTGAAATTCATGGACTGGGCTGAAGGAATATTTTTTAAAGAAGCTATTAAATCTCTAAAACCTTAAATGCAGGTAGAGAAAAACACCTGTGTGGGGCCATGGCTGGGAAGCACACAAAATCCCCGGCCTCTCCTAGGAGTGCTTCCACCTCATTGACTGCCACACGAACAACCAGTAAAGAGGGGAGGGTCTTTTTCTGCTGTGTGAAATAAGGGGAGGAAAAGAAGAACTCTTCAAAGCTACGACTGGAAACATTTACCTTATGCAGATAGCAGTTGAGTAAAGGGAGTGAAACCCATACTGCTCCCCGTAGTGAATTTTTCAAAGCATGTACTTGCAAAAGTTCTTACAGACTCTCAGAATCTTCCCTGTAGCCTTTGAAGTGAGTAGGTAGAAGCTCCTATTATCCTCCCTTCTTAGTAAGCCATACCTTTCATTGCTTCCCAACACATGGTTTTCAGGTATGTATTGATGAAAGCAAGGTTGCTCATAGATAGCACAGACGTAAACAAAATGTCTGTCCCTGTGTGATCAACCATAATAATAACAGGTTCTTTTTTTAAAAAAGAAAGTAAGAAAAGAATACAAAGAAATGTAGATGTTTAACTTCAGGTCAGTGTGTGTGTATATATATATATATATATATATATATATATATATATATATATATATGTATATATCCATTGTGGTTTTCCCTTCTCACATTAAAAGACATTCAGTAGCATGCTTTGTTACTTAATTGTCTCAGATAATGTATAACCATATCCCAGCTGCTTTCAAACATTTTTTGAAGTCCTGTTCCCATTTCAATATGATGAAAGCCTTCACCGCAAAGCCTCTGACATATAACATTTCATTTTCTCAGAGCCCATGTCAACAGTGTAATCAGAACATAAGAAATGGTCATGTTCACCCCAAACCCATCATGGGATTTTAAAAAAAAAATGGATCTTAAAAATCATTTCCTTCTCTCAGGGGAAAAAAATGCTGCAAGAAGAAAAGATAAAAGTCGTGTTAGCTTAACATTGCGCATGAGAATAAAGCCCGCAGGTAAATAAGGTTCCCCCAGGTGACTTAATGCTGCCTCCTCTGTTGGTCCCCAGGTCATAGATCTGTACTGGGGCGTGGACGAAGATGAGTGGGACAGCCCGGAGCTCCAGAAGGCCCGCATGAAGCTGCTGGAGGATTGTTTGAAAACTTCTGCAGGTCCATGTTTTGTTGTGGGTATAAAAAAACTAATGCTTTATATGTGGATGCATGTGAGAATTCTTTCTGATTTGTGATTCTTAAGGGGCTTTAAAAAAAGGGGGGGGAAATACTTGCTTTTCTGTTTCTATTTAAAAATTTCAAGCTGTCTCCTTGACCTCAGTGTTTGAGAAGGAAACGCTCAGCTTTCCGTAAGAGGGACTGCACATTAACGGTTAATAATCTGAACTGGGAATGGGAGGGATAACTTGGGCTTGACAAAAAGTTCTGCCATGCCGGTGATCAGCAATAGGGATTACTGTATCAGTCCTACAATAATAATCCAAGATATCCTTATGTTGTATTTAATCATGGCATCTCTATGTCTCAACATTAGAATTCCTGGCATTTTTTAAGCCCTTTGGCTGAAATGTACAAGTAAACCAAATAGGCTACGTCAGATCTGCCAACAGGAGATGATGCTCTGTAAAAAAAAAAAAAAAAAAAAAAAAAGTTGATTATGCAGAGATTTCCAGCCAGACTTTCATTATAAGCTACAGATTCGAGTGGAACATTATTATTAATTCATCATCATTTTTGAACACTTACTCCTCTGTGTAAACACAGGGTAGTAAGATCAGAAGGTCAGTCTCTGGCAAGTGACTGCAGAAACTGTCTAAAGCACTTTATCTTGAATCCAAACAAATCCTACCAGTTGACGGGAAAGTTGCCCCTTGCAACACAGGAAGCTTTGATTCTGACAGTTGAGGGGTAAAATTACTATTGAAGTCTATGAAGGAAATACCAAGTCTTGCAATTAAAAGCTTGTCTCAGTGTATCAACACAAGTGCTTCTAGTATTTATTTGCATATCCCTGTATTCAACTCCATAGAGGATCAAGATGACAGGGATGACACTAGAAACCTGACCAGTTGATTAAGTCCTTGCCAGAGATAATAAAGTACATGAATGCTCTTAACAATATTTTTAGTATCAGTAAATGAATAACTTATTTATTTTTCACCAACTACCTACTAAATGCTACTCTGCACCAGGGGCTGCTCTCAGTGCTGGGGGCAGGGTAGGTTGATCCATATGCTGTAGTAATTTTGTGGGCCAATTTCACATAATTTAACCTTAGAATCAAACTTAAAAGATAAAACATTCTACCCTCACAGAGCTTGCTCTCTTATAGGGGGGTAAGGGGAGAGAGCAAGCAAATATCAAAGGAGTAAGTAAAAGAAACAAGTCAGATGGTGAGAAGTGCTATGGAGAGAAATACAGAAAGGATGGAAGAGCAGGAACAGCAGTGAGGCAACAGGTTTCCCGCAGAGTAGTTGGGGAAGGCCTCCCTCAGAAGGTGACTTTGGAAGGGAGACAGGAAGAGAGTTGGGGAAAAAGCCAGTGGATGTTCAGACAGAGCCTTCAGGGAGAGGAGTTGGGAATATGATTGGCATGTTCAGGGACCAGTAAGTGTGCAGACCATATCATGGGTGTTATCTCAAAGTTGGCTATAAATATATTATTTTTACTTTGAATGATATGAGAAGCACCAGTGTTTTAAGCTGAATACTAAAGTGATCTGACATATTTGAAGGCCTCCAATGGCTCCTGAGTGTATGGCAGAAGACAGAGCAGGGAGACTTTCTAACAAGTAATAAGCCAAGCAGGACACACACGTGGTTTAGAACAGGCTGGGAAATGGACATCTGAAAACAGCACCATGTGGTCTGAACAGAACAAAAAAGGTCCTGAAAGCCATGTTAGCAAGCTGAAGAGCTAGGAGTGGCAGAAAAATGAAGACTTTTCCATGGCCTTGAGAAGGTAAAATGAGGACCAATGGATGGAAATACAAGGAGAGAGATGTCATCTCCAAGTGAAGAAATCAGGATGTCACACTTTCAGAGGATGTCACACTATCTCAGGTTTTAGGGTACGTGTCTCTGGGTCCTGACGAATATGTCATAGCTATGTGACTTAAATGAGTTTCTTTACAAACTATCCTAGTTTCCTTATCTGTGAAACAGAGATGATGATAATAGTTATGTACTTTCCCAGGTCATTCTGAGGCAGAAATGAAATTACAGGGCACTTACAGTGTCTCACGTAGAGTAACCCATAATAAGTGTTGATTCTTATTTGTTATGAAATCACCTGCCTTAAATTGTAATGAGTGTGTCACCAATGAAGTTGTCATTACAGTAGAGACTGTAATCCACTCTGGCAGGGAGTGGTGCTATGGAGGAGATGCAAACGTTGGAAAGCAAGTTGGAACAGACTTCATCATGCTTAGAAAGCCTGCTTTGGGAGGTAACAAGCGCTGTGGGTATGTCCTGGGGGATCTCATTTGCTATGATCTCCCTACCGCTACCCTGAAATTCAGGAACGAGAGAGACATTCTCCCCCTTTGATCACCCTCTAGTGTGTTATACCCAAACTAACCATGGCCATTAATTCCAACAGTTTGCTGGCAGGGGGGTGAATAATTTGAAGACTTTGCAAGTTTCTGCACCTTCTGAAAGCAAAGGTTAACTGATAGAACATCAGTAACAACTTCATTGAGCAAAAAGAAATCATTTATCCCTCCTTCTGCTCCCTGTTACATGATGAAACTCATGGCAACCATGAAGAATCCCTGTGGCTAGAACTAGGATTATTCACCCCAGTGATTCTAAACCACCCAAGGCTAATCTTATTGCTTATAGTGGAAAGTACCGCTCTGATGGCCTTTCTCGTCGTAACTATGGTAACAATGGGCATATATGTGCCACTTTTGAGCTCTAGCTTCCTTGCCCAGTGCTCTCTTGTGATACTTCTAGAAGTCATAATGACCCCTGTGGGCGGCAAAACGTGGCTTATTACTTCACTTGATGATAGTGTTATTGGCAGGAAAACTCACTCTTGCTGGATAAATAAATGTTTTTATATCTTTAGAGGCTTCACAGATATTAGCTCTTATGTTAGATACAAATAAATTCAGGACCAAACAAAGCTTTTATTTTAAAGTACCCAGGGAATTGGGATCCAGAGGGAACTTGGACTTCAGTCTTTCATATGCTTGGCTTTTTTTAACTTTCCTTCCCACAAGTTGTGCTTTGGGCTGTGGCCCAAGGTCCTAGAGAAGTGCCAGCTGTGCCTGCTGATCCTGGCCAGGGGGTTGAACTCGTGCTTTTTGGTCACAAGGAGGAGAGGGTGATGGAGAGGGTCACATGTGTCCAGGTTTCACTCTTGGAGAATTAACTCATGAGACATTTCATGCTGAGAACACATCGAATCTACTAGGTAATAACAGAACTTGTAGAGGTGTGTAGAGGAACAAACATAGTGGAAAAGACCCAGAAATTCTATTTTACGACCTGAGTTAAAGCCATGATCCTGATAGGTTAGGTCACTGGCCTCTCCATGCATTACTCACCACACCCATGAAATGGGGAAATAATAACAGTTAAACTAAAAGTAAAAGTATACTTTTACTTAGTTAAAAGTAAAAGTATACTTTTACTTAGTTAAACTAAAAGTAAAAGTATACTTTTACACAACAAGCCCTTAAGCAAATATCAAGGGCTTGTTGTGGGGTCTATGTGAGAGTTCTTTGTAAACTATAAAGGGCTACACAATCATTAGTTACTAAATCACTAGAAATTCATGCATGGGTACAGTCCCTGGGCCTTGTTAGCAATCAGGGCAGATCTGCAGGGCAACCGGCAGGGCAATTGGGGGGCTCCCACTGGCACCCACCTTGTCTGGCCTGGGGCCTGCGCACTGGGGGCAGCTCCTGCACTGAGCGCCTGTCTCCTGGTGGTCAGTGCTCATCATAGCGACCAGTTGGTCTGCCATTCAGTCAATTTGCATGTTAGGCTTTTATTATATAGGATGGTTTAAGTTATTTCAAATGAGAACAAAATATTATTTGTACTAGACATTTATGTGATACTGGAAATTTTTTCCCTTTGGATAACTTAATAGGCTAAATGTAGAAAGTATTAAGAGATGATTCGGACAGTCAAAAATTAAAGTCATATTTTCCCTTTTATTCCCATTGACCCCTTTCAACAATAAAGATTTAATTGGGGGGAAAATTGTACTATACAGTTTTATAAAATGCTTTTTAAAGTTAAAAATTGAAGTCAAAATAAAGGGTTTCTAAGTTCATTCTTAATAAACATTGTAAAATGTAGAGTATGAATTGGCTAGATATGAATTTGCTGGAATTCAATTAGTAAGACCTCTTCCCAAGGAGGGATTTTTGACCAGGATTTGGACTCACACCTGAGTCCAAAGTCACACCCCACTTCTCTTAGGTGCAGAGAATTGCCTCAGCTTCACAGAGTGGGAATTCCAGCAGAATCTTCTCCACCAACCAGTTCTACCCAATTAGTCCTTTAAAAAAAAAAACAAAAAAAAACAAAAAAAAAAACACCTTGTGAGGGAGGCAGGGAATATTGGCTTTTGGAGAAAGCAGAGTCCATGCAAATGCTACCTATCACATCCCCATCCATCTTTTTGAGGAGTGTTTAGGGAAAGAGGGGCTTTTCTTAGCATCCCTCCAAATTTGGAGTGCCACAAAAGACTTGCTTGTGGAGTTTGAGCATTGATCACTGACTTCACATTCAGAGAGCCATTCACCAAGTTTTAGAACAAAGGAAATGCTGCCTGCCATGTTTGACAATTCTCAGAAGTCACAGGAAACCAAAACCTATATAGCATCCTCATTGGGGCTACCAGATCACACAGATGTAAACAAACTTAATTTGTCAGCATTGGAGAGAGAAGTAGCCAAGACAAGAGTGAGATTACTGCCATCATTCTTACCTGAGTGTCAGGAGACACCAAAGCAGACTTATATCTCTACCCCTCAATACACACACACACACACACACACATACACATACACACACACACACAGCCATCAGTGGCACATATGGCATGGGACAAGGAGCAGACCATGCTTTTGCCTACCATAGACAGCTCCTGGAAGCTACACTTAAGATCAGAATGCAAGTGGGAAGAAGGAAGCTAAAATATCCATATTTTG